TGATATATGATATATGATATATGATATATGATATATGGTATATGATATATGATATATGATATATGATATATGATAAATGATATGTATGTCCTCTGTCCTAGCAATTTCGCTCAGTGTATTTGCATTCGTAATTGCATTTTGGGTATTCATGAAATCTGATTGCATTCGCAGGTAGTTGCCACGGGCATGTTTTATGGCCCGGATGCATACTTCACGTCCGGCTGGAATATAATGGATGGATCTTTGGTTACAATTTCGATAATTGATTTGTTAATGTCATTGATTAGCGAGTCGAGCCCGAGGATATTTGGGATTTTAAGGGTAAGTTTGTAGGTGGGCCGGCGTGGCAAATCTAAAAACGTGGCATCCAAATGCCATCAGCGACTGCTACATGCCACATGCCACTTGCCACTTGCCACATGCCACATGCAGCATGCAACTGAATGCAGCGCCCAACAAATGTGCGAGCCACTAATTCAACAACTCGAACCACGCACCACGCTAAATATTAAAAAAAAAAAAAAAACAAGTTCAAATGCGGAATCATAAAAAAAAACAAAACAAAATCTAGAAAAGCTCTAGCAATTGCTCGCTCGCTCGTTCGCCCGCTCTCTCGCTCTTGCTCTGTTTCTCTCTCTCTCTCTCTCTTTCTATCTCTCTATCTTTCTCTCTTTAGCCAACTATGTTTCTTACATTGCTATCGCTATCTCTGTCTAACGCACACATCTCTCGTCTCGCCTCGCCGTAAAGTGCACACAAATCTTTCAACAACTCTCTCTCTTTCTCTATAAAACTCTATCTCTATCTGTCTCTCTCATTCTCTCTCTCTCTCTCTCTAAATATATATATATACCTCTGTATTTATATATATCTATGTCTCTATTGTATTTGAATTGGGTATTCGTATCTTAATCTTAACATTAATCAAAAAACAAAACCAATCTGCAGGTAAATTCTCGCTGCTATATCATTTAATGGCAAATCCAATATCTAAAACATTAATCCAATTTATTTGTCTTTGTGTGTATGTGTGTGTGTGTGTGTATGTAGAGTCCCCCAAGAACTGTTAATACCCTTTCCAAATATGTAATACGTTGGCCTCACCCTCATGCTATAACTCGTTGTATATATAAATAGATCTATATTTCCTTACAATACGATTTGCATTACTTTACGACCTTGTCATGCCCCAGCCCCGCACAACTTTCGCTTATAAATACAACATAGCCTCACATTTTGTACGTTTACCTATCGGAGTTGTAAAGTCTATTTCAGCTGACTAGAAAGATTGTATAAATCCAAAGTTCCTTTCCATATCGACCCCTATATCTAACCTAGAATAGAGTTTACGGCTCCGATATTTGCAAACTAAAGTTCGATCATACATGGTCATTAACTAAATTAACTTTTAGTACAACTTTGACATGCATTGCAATCACTGTTCTATTTCCATTTGTTTCATGTTGTAAATCTCACTTGAAAATTTTTGTTGCACATATTTCAATTTATTCCCATGGCAGTTATAGCCTCATCACTACCACAATAAATACCGTAGTTCCATTCCCGTTTGTTCCAAGCGGTCATATCATTGTTGTTAGCTCAAAACTCCCCTAGGCTATAATCGCCCTATTACTAAATTTTAATCGTTTTATTGGAATATTCCAATTCCGTGTTTCCAGTTCCTAAACGTGTTATACAATTGTTTATAGCCCGATTTATATCGCCCCCGATGGCTGTCAGCCAATTATAATCAATATTACTGCATATTCATGTATCCCATTCCACTCGTTCCATTTCTCACTCCTTCCATATTTCAAAAGGACTAGACCAATATCACTCAATTATATATATATATTTTCCTCGCATTCCATTATCATCCGTTCCAATCGCATTTTCCCAATTCCATTCGTTCCTGACCAAAACCCATCAGTGTTGCATCACGTTGTTATTTCAACTTTACAATTGCACATATGTACACACAGCTTACAGTACAGTAGCCCCGATTATGTTCCATTTCCATTCATTCCATGCCATTGTTCCACGAATGTCACTGCCTAACCTAGCCTTTTGCTGTTTAAGCCACTGTTAATAGTGTGTTCCAAATTCCAAATCGTTTCCCTTCAATATATGTATATGTATATATTCCCCTGTAAAGCTCAAGTAGCTAAATTCTATGCTAGCATACAAGTGTTCCATTATCATGTTGCTTTGCCTTGTTCAGTTCTTTTGTGTTGTTCCCATTCCACTCGTTTCAGTTGCTATGACCGCTTCACAAAGTGATGCGCCAACGATTCGTTGTACTCGAAACGAAATCCGAAAACAGATCAACTACAATCGAACTAATACTGATTCAATGCCTGTTCCAAACCCAATTGTTGTTCGCAGGTGTTTCGTCTACTTCGTTCCCTACGGCCGCTGCGTGTGATCAACCGAGCGCCGGGTCTGAAACTAGTCGTTCAAACGCTCTTATCATCCCTGCGTCCCATCGGGAACATCGTGCTGATCTGTTGCACCTTCTTCATCATCTTTGGCATCCTCGGCGTCCAGCTGTTCAAGGGCACCTTCTTCTACTGCGAGGGCGAGAACATTAAGAACGTACGAAACGCCGACGAGTGCCGTCGCATACCGGGCAACGTCTGGACGAATCGCAAATACAATTTCGATGACCTCGGCAAGGCGCTGATGTCCCTCTTCGTGCTCAGCTCCCGCGACGGCTGGGTGAACATCATGTACACGGGCCTCGATGCCGTCGGCGTCGACCAGCAGCCGATCGTCAACTACAACGAGTGGCGGCTGCTGTACTTCATAGCGTTCATATTGCTGGTCGGCTTCTTTGTGCTGAACATGTTTGTGGGCGTGGTGGTGGAGAACTTCCACCGTTGCCGCGAGGAGCAGGAGAAGGAGGAGAAGATCCGGCGAGCCGCGAAGCGAGCGCTCCAAATGGAAAAGAAACGCCGGCGCATGCACGAGCCGCCCTACTACACCAACTACTCGCCCACCCGAATGTTCGTGCACAACGTGGTCACATCGAAGTACTTTGACCTGGCCATAGCCGCCGTCATCGGGCTGAATGTGGTCACCATGGCCATGGAGTACTACAAGATGCCCATTCCGCTGCAGTATGCGCTGAAGATCTTCAACTACTTCTTCACGGCCGTGTTCATACTGGAGGCGAACATGAAGCTGGTGGCACTGGGCTGGCGGCTCTACCTGAAGGATCGCTGGAATCAGCTGGACGTGGGCATTGTTCTGCTCTCGATCGTGGGCATTGTCCTCGAGGAGCTGGAGACGAACATAATCCCCATTAACCCGACGATAATACGCGTGATGCGCGTGCTACGCATCGCCCGCGTCCTGAAGCTACTCAAGATGGCGAAGGGCATACGAGCCCTGCTCGACACCGTCATGCAGGCCCTGCCCCAGGTGGGCAACCTGGGGCTGCTCTTCTTCCTGCTGTTCTTCATATTCGCGGCGCTGGGCGTGGAGCTGTTCGGCCGTCTCGAGTGCTCCGACGAGATACCCTGCCAGGGACTTGGCGAGCATGCGCACTTCGCCAACTTTGGCATGGCTTTCCTCACATTGTTTCGCGTAGCGACTGGCGACAACTGGAACGGCATCATGAAGGACACGCTGAGGGATAACTGCGATGACGCCGCCGATTGCGTGCGCAATTGCTGCGTCAGCTCATTTATTGCTCCCATATTCTTTGTGATATTCGTTCTAATGGCGCAATTCGTTTTAGTGAACGTCGTCGTGGCTGTTTTGATGAAACATCTCGAGGAGAGCCACAAGCAAATGGAAGACGAGCTCGACATGGAGGTGGAGCTGGAGCGCGAGCTGGTGCGCGAACAGGAATTTGCCCAGGAGCAAAAACTGTGCCAGCAGCTGGCGGAGGCGCAGGCCAAGCTGCCCGCACCGCCCCGACCCCTGGCCAAGGTCAAATCCCTGCCCAAGAACTTCATCTACAGCACACCCTCGCTGGACAAGAAGTTCCCCAGCGTCAGTCTCACTGGCAGCACCGCCAACAACATTGCCGCCGGCGCTGGCCAGCGACGCCAGACCGTGCAATACTTTAACCAGCAGCAGCAGCAGCAGCAGCAACACCAGCAACACCTGCAGCAGCAACATCCACATCCACATCAACAGCCGCAACAGCAGCCGCATCATCTGAGCCTGGCTGAGATGGGCAGCGCGCTGGCGCCTCAGAGCCTGAGCGCACGGTTGGGGGAGCCCTTCGGGGGCGCTATGACGGCAGCTGGAAGCGGTCCGGGCTCCGAGCTGCTGGGCTTGCAGCTGCCGCCATTGGGCCGCCGCGGGCGACGCGCCTCCGCCGCCGCCGGGTTCCGCAAGCGCGGCGTGCTGTCCAAGGAGCGATCGCTCGACGAGCAGGCCATCAGGCGACGCAACCTGGAGGCGAAGCGCACCAGTTGCGATTCGCTGCCCTGGGGCGGCGATGCGCTCGACTATAGGCGTGGCACCATATTCGAGAGCCTCGAATCGGATCCCGCCTCCAGCTATGACCTGGACGTGCGCAGCATACGCAGCGCCGAGGTCCCCAGGCCGCGTGACGACGACGACCCGCTGGAGCCGCTGGCTGTGGTCAGTGCTCTGGTCCAGCCGACGGCAACGCCATCGTCGCCCCCCATAACAACAGCCACGCCCACGCCAACGCCAACGCCAACATCTATGCCCCAGCCCCAGTTACAGTCACAGCCCCAGCCCCAGTCACAACAGCAGCATCCGCGTCGACCCTTTGGCTGGTCACAGTCGGTGGATCAGGGCTGCCTGCTGGGCCCCGGCGGACGCAGCAGCTTGCTGCTCTCGGTGCCACGTTCGATGCCCCCTCGCAGTCGCAGCGGCAGCACGAAGCAGCTCTTCAAGCAGCAGGCGCTCGATGAGGACGCCGACATGGATGAGAACTCGCTGCTGTTGCCCGCCACGCATCTGGCAGCAACTGTTGCTCCCAGCGCGGAGCATCCAACGGCAACAGCAACAGCAGCCGCAGCAGCAGCAGCGGCAGCGGCAGCAGCAGCGAGCGACGTTGACGGCGACAGCGATGCCGTCGACGTCAGCAGCGCAGCGGGCCTAAGCAAATCCGATTCAGCGGACATCATGCGCATCATTAGCGAGCGCAGGCGCATGGATCAGCGGGATCAGTGCGGGAACGAGGACAGCGACTACAATGAGCTGCTCCTGGTCAAGTCGCCGCAATCCTCAACGGACTAAGCCCTCGAGAGAGAGAGAGAGAGTTGTCTCTGTCGCTCTCTCACAATCTCTCTCTCCTCTCTCGCTCTCTCTCACTGTCACTCTGTCATCCAGTCATCATACCTTGAAGCAGGCTTACTATAAGTAGTTTTAAGCATTATCGATAGACGATAACACGACAACACAAAGCTCGCCTGTTAGCATAAGCATACTATAGCCATGTCCGCCCCCCCCCCCCTACCTCTCACACATCCTGCCCCCTCACTCAACCGCACACAAGCTTGCTGAGAGTGTGTGTTTATGCGCATTTGGGTGTTATCGATAAACGATAAGAAACAAGACGCAAGCCTGTACACCTGTTTGTATACATATATCTATCTCGCTCAATCACACACTCCTTTTGCAAAGAGAGACACGCATACGCAGAATTTAGAGAGCTCCAACTTCAATAATCGATAACACATGGCCAATTTTCGTACAGCTCTCTCGCTCTCACCGAGAGAGCATTTTATGCGCATTTAGGCATTACCTATACATCGATAGAGCAATTAAGCCAAGTCTTATTCCCTATTTCACATGATCGTTGAATCGATAAAACGATAACACGATAACACATAGCAAGTCTGTGCGAGCAGCTGCTCTCCCTCTCTCATATACTCTCGCCAATGTACAGGCTTGCTAGCAGAGAGTTCCATGCGCATTTAAGTATATCGATAAATCGATAACACATAAAAAGTGTAAACAGAAGCGAGCCTGTTGGCATACACCCCAAGCCCCACTCTCACACTTACTTTCGTAACTATAACTTTAGGGAATTTTCCAAGTGCTCAGTTGGAAGAAGGAAAAAAAAAACACAAATCGAAGAGAGAAGAAGAACAAAGAAACTAAAACGTTAGATTTTAGCCAATAACGATTAACGATTAACGATAAACATTACTCACTAGCGTTTAGGCGTTTAACTGTAACTATAACTGTAACTATAACTATACAAATTAACTATAACGATAACGATAACGATTACAATTACGATAACTACTCATCGAGCGTTCTCTACCAAAAACAAAACAAAACAAAGCCAAACAACAAATGGTCAACTGTTTTTAGTGCAATCTACGGTTTTCATAAGTTTAGCAAAAAAAAAACCAAATTCAAAAAGAAAAAAATACTACAAATATACTTAATATAATGAAAATACTAAACAAAAATCAATCGTTGCTTAGAGCGTTTTCCGTTTCAACCACAAAATGAATAAGAAAAAAAAAAAAACCAAAAGCTGATTTATGATGATTATATAGAACTAAATGTATGTATGTATATATATACATATATATATATATATATATATATATATATATATATATAT